GCCAGATGGGGGGAGGGCACATCAGGCAAAGGCTTATGTTGTCGACAACATAAGCAAAAGCCCAGAGATAGGAATGGGTGTCGGACATTTAGGGCACATTGAGGAAAAGTTGCCTAGCTTGAGGAAATTTGATAATGCTAGAGTAACTAGTAATTAGAAATAAGGATTAATCTGTAGATTAAATCATGATGAGCCTTAAAAACCATGCCAAAGCCCTGGCTGGTGTAGCTCAGTGGATTGAGCGCGGGCCTGGGAACCAAGCAACCACGGTTCGATTCCCAGTCAGGGCACATGCCTGGGTTGCAGGCCAGTTCCCAGCAGAGGACACACAAGAGGCAACCATACATTGATATTTCTCTCCCTCTCTCCTTCCTTTCTCCTCTAAAGATAAATGAATAAAATCTTAAAAAAAAACACCCAAAACCATGCCAAAAAGCCTGCATTTATGCTGGTTGGATTCTAGAGAAGTGTAACATATTTTTCTTCTCTGCTTTTTTTTTTTTAAGATTTTATTTATTTCTTTATCTTTAGAGGGGAAGGAGAAAGGGAGAGAAACATCAATGTATGGTTGCCTTTCATGCATCCCCTGGTGGAAACTGGCCTGCAGGGAAGCAGCCTGCAACCCAGGCATGTGCCCTGACTGGGAATCAAACCTCGACTGTCTGGTTCGCAGGCCCGCGCTCAATCCACTGAGCTACACCAGCCAGGGTTTCTTCTCTGCTTTTAAGGAATACAAAGAGCAACAAGCCATACTCTCCATCTGAGCAGAAGGGCTCACAGGTCATTGTTCTCAGAGCTATCCTGAACCTAACAGTGACAAGTACACTGGGTTGGAGGACAAAAGTAGAGGTGGGGGACCAGCCGAAGCTGCTTCATGACTCGGGTGGTGGTGAGGGTTCAGTCAGGAAAAAGGGGGGGGAACGGAGACAGGAAGGAGAAACAGAGCTTGGTGATAAAGGGCAAAGGGGATGAAGACAACTAAGTGTACATTTTTAAACTAAGAACCAAAAGAATGGTGGCATGAAAGGCAAATGAAAGAAATCTAGAAAGCCAGTGCAAGGGAAACATTTCACTCTTATTTAATCCATCCATCAAGTCACTTAACCTGTGCATATTGAGTGGTGCTGTTTACTGAGGGTGTCGTGTTGAGCAAGTAAAGACATCAAGCCCAGTGTCAGGGAGCTCCTGATTTACATGGTAAGAAAACCAGTAGTCCAATCAGCCCACGGATATATACAGAAGTACAATTATGACATAGGCTCAAAGGAGTGTTATGAGAGGCTAGATCCGTGGAATGGGACCTGGGGAGGCCAGAAACGTTTCTAAGGAAATTAAAGCCTGAGCTGACCACTAAAAGGTAAACAGAAACAAAAGGGGAGAAAAACACATTCCAGGCACAAGAAATAGAAAGTAGTATTTTCATCATCATATTGGAGAAGATGGCAATATATTGAGGCGAAAAATAGTTAAGGCATTTATAAACAGTGATTGGAGTACAGATGATAATGATATTGTTTTGTAGTTTAGGGAGGGAGATTTGAGCATGTTTATTGAAAATTGGTAGTTGAGTTCAGGAAAGTGGATGAAGGTAAGTAAAGGGCTGAGGCTATAACCTTTAGGAATTACCACAATCAATGAACAGCAAAACAAAGAAGAGTACCACCAAAATAGAGAAGTTTAAAGTAAAGATAAATAGAAGATGGGGGACTTCGAAATGGCTTTTGTGTCTCTGGCAGCATTCCCGAAAAGTGAAGGTATACTGACTGACTGTCTCATTGTGAGTTGACTTTTCTGTATCCCAGGGACTACAGCCAGAGTTCCAGGCCTCAAGCTCCATACTGTATTGTTTTCACACTGGAGAAAGAGGAATTGCAGTGACATATTTCACACCAAAGTAATGAACTCGAACCTGGTCACAATGGAACTATGTCTAAGCCTGTTGGAATCTCATGCCAGGGTTGGATGAAGGAAAAAGAACATAGACATAAAATGGTGAAATGTTGTGATAAAGATGAGATTAAATAAGAAAGCTCAGATTAGGAAGGGATTAAGTGATAAAACGTTCTGCCAAGGCAAGAAATTAGGAAGTTGGTAAGAGTTCACAGTAGATTGTATATGACTGTGAATCCACCAGTATGATATTTTTCTTTGTGAAGGAGGGTAATCAATAAACTACCCTTAATGCATCAGCAACAACGCTGGCTATAACTCAGGCACTCGAAGTAGCTAGAGTACGTTATCAGACTATTTAAGATAGATGGATTTTGAATGTTTTTTTAATTTTGGAGAGAGAAACCTCAATTTGTTGTTCCACTTATTTATGCATTCATCGCTTGCTTCTACATGCTCTGCCCAGGGATCCAACCTGCAACGCTGGTGTGTGAGGACAATGAGCTAACCAACTGAGCTACCCGGCCAGGGGCAGGACAGCCAGATTTTGAATGGGTTTATGCTGCTTTCATAAGCAGCATAAGCAGTTGAAGGCATGTTTTTGGATGGGATATGTGTCTTTATCTGCTGGCAAATCAATCTACTATACTTTAAAAATTTCAATCCTCACCCGAGGGCATTTTTTTTTAATTGATTTCAGAGAGAGGAACAGAGTGAGAAACATCCATTGGTTGCCCTCCCTACACACCCCACCTGGGGATCGAACATGCAACCTAGGTATGTGTCCTGACCCAGGATCAAACCTGCAACATTTTTGGGTGTACAGGATGACACTCCAACCAAGCTCACTTTCAAATTAAAATAATGGATCAGCCCTGACCAGTATGGCTTAGTTGGTTGGGTTTTATCCTGCACAAAGCAAAAGGTCACTGTTTGGATTCTTGGTTGATTCCTAGTTAGGGCACACGCCTGGGATGCAGATTTGGTCCCTGGTCGGGGTGCATATGAGTGGTAACCAATTGATGCTTCTCTCTCACATAGATGTTTCTCTATTTCTCCCTCCCTTCCTATCTAAAAATAATTTTTAAAATATTGAAGTAGTGATATGTTTATTTCCTGTTCTTTAACCAGACTTTCCAAAGTATAGGAGAAATTTTTATACTGTGTCTTTCCATTTGGGTAACCTTTTTGCGTTGAGGTTCTTTCTGTGAGAAGATAATTTTTCTGGCCATGTTTTTTTTGTGGGGAGGTGAGTACTTTGGTTTAACCTTGCTCATTACCATTAATAGCTGTTATGTATCATCATCATGATCATCTCCATAAATATTTCCATTTCTTAAGTTCAACATATCTCAACTTTAAGAGGGTACAAGTTTATGTTAACTTGCCTTAACATTATACTGCCTCCGTGTGTGTAAAAAATAACTTTTCAAAACAAGAAGCCCATCCAATGGAAGCATTCATTTAGCAGTTTTAGAGTATAGTTGAAATTAGGGTACAAGGAGACACGGCCTCACTGTTCATTTTTACCCACCGCAGGAAATACAGTCAGAGTTCCAAGCCTGCAGTTCCAGACTATGTTGTTCTGGACAATGGAAAAACAGAGGAACTGGGGTAAGGTCTCTCTTGACAAAGCAATGAATGTGAGCTTGATCACAACGGTTCTTATGGACATGTTAGATGTGCTAGATTTGAATGACAGTAATGTGACGAGTCTATTGTTCTGCACCACGGTTGCTGGCAGGTCTCTTACTTTGTCATTATTGCAGGGACGAAAGCAAGCTTCAAGATCAAACCTTCATCACCCAGCAAGTACCAATCATCTCAGACTCTCCTAGTGAACTGGTGATACCCAGTACTCAGAAAGGATCACAAGAGTCTGACACGGTAAGGAGTCTGTAATTGAGCCAAACAATACATAGAACTCTTACCTTTCCCCCGCGCAGCTTCTTCCTGAGTCTCAGTTCTTTAGCTCTACTATCCAGCTCTCAGGGACCAGTGAAATGACTAATAGTACCAGTAGGAAATGGTGGACATTTTTATAACAGTATCCACACTAAGGAAGACATTTACTTAATGCAAATGCATATTTTCTGCCTCTTAGTGTGAAAAAACCTATATATTATCTTTTGAAATACACAGCCTAGCCAAGATATGTACTATCTTTTATGTAAGAATTAAAACACAGCGACAGTGTAACTCTTGGCTTGGGACAGCAGCAGGAGTCTGAGTGACTGCAAGCTGGAGGACAAAGGCATTAAAAGGAAGGACGGCACCATTTTTTTAAAAAGCCAGATTTTCTTTTTAAGAACTTTTTATTTGTAATGTGTTATTCATAATCAGTAACATGTAGAATCAGAGAAATTTCAAATGAGGCCACAGTGAGCAAAAATAAAGAAAAATACTGATTTTTAAGCTGCTACTAGCATAAACATAACTGCACAGATATTTTTCACCTAAGAAACAAGAAACTTCTGAGATCAAGTATCTAGCCGAATGAACTGATTCCAATTAGAGCAACAAGATTCTGATTGGTTCGCATTTTTTAAAAAGTGATTTCCTTTAAGTGTAAGGAAAATTGAGGGGTCTCTGTGACTCAATTCCACTTGGAATTCAGAGAATATGACCTTTTATTCAACCCAGCCTGCAGTTGTTGGATTGGATTAACTATCACTACTAGTTGCCAGCTGTGATAAGCGATAAAATAAGGGGCATTCTATAAATTTCTACTGCCTCACCTTTAGGAAGGGAAATCAAAACAAAATGAAGCCAAACAGGAAGACCCAGTAGGGCCATAAATGTATTTTATTAAAGTTCTAGTCACTTAAGTCAGTGATTTTCAACTGATGTGTCACAAGAATCTTTAAAACATGTAATACCTCACTATTTAGAAGCACTGAATGACCTCTTTTCCCTTAGATTGTCAAATAAAAGAATGACACCAATGACGCGATAGCCAGCCAGTATGCATGCCCTGTCTTGAATCATAAATATGTAAGTCATGTACTAGAGTTGCATTTTATTGGTCACAGTGCATAATAAGGTGGCATCTGATTGGTTAATTCTTGGTACCAGAAATCCTATATACATGACTATAGGCACCTGATTTGTTTAAAAAAAAAAAGTCACTTTGGAGCAAAAAGGTTAGATAATTTTATTAATATTTTTGATAAATCAATCAAAATTATACCTTTTTTGTCAGATTGGCAACAAATATATTTTTGGCGTGCTGTGAAATTTTAAAATTAGTTTATGTGTGCCATGAGATTAAAAAGGTTGAAAATCGCTGCATTAAGTGATTAAAAATTTTTACATTCTATCCAGTAGGTGGTAGTAATAAGCTTAAAATATGTAAAGTGCACAAACATTTTCAAGGTTTTCACTATCCTTAATTAATCCCATGGAGTAGGCTAGCATTATCCACATGAGTAGCAGGGAAATAGGAAAATAAGTGACCTGTGTCATCTGGCTAAAGACCAGAGATTATTCACTGGCTCGGAACCAGTTCACTGGGTGAAAACCGCATCCGAAAGACAAGGTTCAGCTGGGACGTACAACAAAAGAAAGACGCTGTTCGGTTTACCACATTGGTATCTTCTTTGACTTACAGTTTAGCTACATCAGAGAAACAAAGAGAATAAAGATAGCTGAATTAATGGTAGCAGGAGAATTTGTCAGAGCATTTCTTTTTTACACTTTATGTCATGAAAACCTTTAAAATTTCTTAGACCCTAGTCAGTTATTCTACATTAAGTGTTCTTTCACTAAAAAGTATCATTCATGAGAAATGCAGACAAGAGGAAAGAGCAACATAAAACATTTGTCAAGGACTATCAGGTCAGACTTGCTTAAGGCAAACACCCCTTGATTTCTGGGTCTAAGATAACTTTTGAAATGGGTTTCTTTAAAGAAAAAAAAGAAGGCATCTGAGTTAATCACTGAAGCATTAATTAATGATTGCTGAAGCAAAGCCTGAAATTTAACACTTGGCACACACGACGAAAAATTGGTTTATCCAGTGCACACTCAGGTATCCTTGAGAAATGGTTTTAAGAAGCAGGAACAGAGACAATGATAGAATTCAGTGGTCATGAATCACTAGGACAAAGTAGCATTCAGCAAAAGAGAGAAGCAGCTGTTGCAACTGTGGGATAAATAGAGACAGACTATAACTTGGTTAGTGTGCGGTGAGAGGCTCAGAAAAGCCTGGCACCAGGGTCTCCCCCACTGGTGTAAGCCTGTGCTGGAGGGCCAACCACCAAAGGGTGAGTTATTTCTATCCTATTTCCCCACCCAAGAGGCCCTCTTCCACTTACGGAGAATCTTTACAAACACTAATTTTCCCATCAAGTCATCAGAAAAAGGGAGAATTTTTGGAAAACAGGTCTAAGCTCTCATTCCAGATAAGCATTTCACAGTTAACAACAGTTACCTCAGAAAGGGAAGCATGAAGAGTAAGTGAAAACACAGTTTCAGAGTTACACTGGGAGTCTCCCTGTAGCAACTTTGCAGGGGTTAATGTCCCGAGAAAGAGTTTAGTTACAAGGTATTCCATTCTCAGGCATCTGATCTGAGCAAAGTTGGCAAATGAAGGCAGTCAAGAACAGATTACTTAGGGTGGACTGAGTCTGGAACAAACGCGTGTCTAACGGCCCATCGTCGGCATGACTACAGCAGGTGAAGAGAGAGTAGCATCTTCTTCTTTCCACTGAGAAGTGATTGTCTTTAGCTGAGTGTAAAAGTAGATGCCCTAAAGAGAACGGGAAAAAACCAGAATATATTTTTGGGAGGTTTCATGATTCCTCTTTTAATCGACTTTTGAAGGTGGTACTGTGAAGTGCTACTCACGCTCCCATTTAAGAAACAGGTGCAATTAATTCATGTAAATTTATCTAAAAGATTCAGCCTAATACCTGACACAGAGTAAAGAGTCAGATCTTAGTTACCATTATATTGAAACTGGCCAAGAACATTATTATATAAGTGGAAAAAATGAAACAATGTAATCTGTTAAGCTTGTAAATCATTCTGTTCCTACAGCTGAATATCATGTGCTCTCAATTTTTGAGACATGGCTTAAATCCTGCCTCTACTCCTCTGGGCTGCTGTTTAACTCTGGGCCTTACCTGGGACCATAATGCCTACCTCACAGCAGTGTGTCAGGAGAAAAGGAAACGATTCCCGTGAAGGTGAAATATGGATTAGGCCATTTCTGACCAATGTCAGTGGTAAACAGCCACACTCAAGTAGTCAAATCCACAATATCATACAAACCTAAAGTAAAATGTCTGATACACACATTCACTTCTAAATCACCTATAATAGGTAAGCCAAAAAAAGTTCGGCATATTTAAGTCTTCACATATAGTTTATTTTTGTAAGAATAGGCTTGAGCAAAGGGGACTTGACTGTACAGATCCAACAACAGATTACTAGAAAGCTAGAAAGATATTGTTAGGAAAAAACACACTATTTGATTACAGAGTGATTAAAATACTCTTCTAGAATTACTTGACAAAATTTGGGCCATGTCTTTTTTTTTTTTTTAAGATTTCACTTATTTATTTTCAGAGAGGGGAAGGGAGGGAAAAAGAGAGGAGAGAAACATTAATATGTGGTCGCCTCTTGTACTCCCCCCATTGGAAACCTGGCCTGCAATCCAGACAGGGGCCCTGACTGGGAATCGAACCGGCAACCCTTTGGTTCACAGGCCAGCACTCAATCCACTGAGCCACACCAGCCAGGGCTAAGCCATGTTAATATATTGAAGATAACTTTAGAGATTGTTACACACTTTCATTATAAGATACAACTAAAGTTTACATTTTACCACATAAGAATGATACTTTCATGTCTTCCTTCCAGGACGCAAATTAGCAATTTAATTACCTGAGGATTTAAGACTTCAAACTCTATATGAGGTCAGCCTGTTCCCCCAAGAAGCCTCACTTACAGAGTAACTTATGAAGAAATTTTGTTAATAGTATCAAACTAATTAGTTTTACAAAAGCTGTGATTTTTGTCACAAACTGTATCATGAGCCTCCAAATAACCAAAGTTCTTTCTTTCTTTACCAATTGGCCACACTTTCCTATTGTGCTATGCAATCCCAATGTTCATTTTTTATTAACCTATAAAAGGGAGACATGTATAGAAGAAATGTAATTTATTACTGAAGGTTTCAAAGTGGCTGTACTTCTGTAGAACTAGAAATAACTTCCACTAGCCCATTCGTTTGGGCACCTGCTCTGCAGGTGCTGCAGATGGAGAAAGAAAGCGGACGAGGGCTTCTTAGGAAACGTGGCTGAAACATCCCCGCAGGCAGGAATCGCCCTGCCTTCCTCTCTAGCTTCATCTCTGACCACTCTCGTACTCATTCACTCCCCGGGCTCCAGCCCATTTCTGCTGTTCGAAGAGGCCACGTCTGTTCCTGCCTGAGGACAACTGCACCTGCTGAAGGACGTGGCAATACCTCATCACCTCGGGAAACACACACACTGCTGTTCTTCCCATTTTACAGAAGAAGAAACCCGAGGAACAGAGTTAATAACCGGCCGAGCTGGGTGTGAACCCAGGCAATTTGGTTTCAGATCTGCTGTATTTTCCTTGGTCAGCGCTGTACTTATAGTGCCTAGAATAGTGTTCCGTACAAAGAAGATGCTACATAAGTTTTTTGTAAATGAGTAACCATTACGGGAGAGACACGTGCAGGGGGAGTACGTGAGGGCGCACACAATGAAGCGCTGAGGAAGGGGCTGCTGGCGGGAAGAAGTGGTGTTCTGGAGAAGTCCACTCTTTACATGGAGACTTGACAGGCGATGAAGAAGAGTCAGTCAGATGAAAACGGGGAGGCAGAAAGAGGGTCCCAGGCAGAGAGGAAAGGGCATATATAAAAGCTTGGACCTCCTCATGCCCATTCCCTAAAATTTTTTTTCCTTTGAGTTATTTGGCAAGAAGCAGCTTTGGCAAAATTTCATTAACTTTTAAATCTTTTCTAGGGAACCTACTGACAAGCACTACTGAACAATGCGTGACCCCCACAGAGGCTACTGGCAAGCTTTTCCTTGCAGAATCCTTGTTCCTGAATATGTTAAAGAGAGTTTCTTAGAGGGAAAGATATTTTTAAAAACACAGTTACCTGTTTGCCATAGAAATTGGTGTCTCCCCTGAAGGAAGATCGAGAGCCAGTGAAGGAGAACATCGGTAAAGGCACTGGAATGGGGACATTCACACCCACCTACAGCAGAACGAGTCCACGTCAGACACCCAGAAACAGACTCAAGCAAAGGAACTCTCCATTTAGAAGCATAAATGTTTGGCATTAGAGAGACTACTTTTAAATATCCACTTTCCACCCAACCCCCACCTCGTGAACTTTTATTCCTGAGGAAGAAATGGAGCATCGTGGGAGACCAGAGGGGCAGCAGCTGATCACCGTCCACCATCTCCCCAGCACAAAAAATGGCCACGAGAGCCCCCAGAAAGTTCTGTCCACAAACCTGTCCAACATCTACCAAGTGGGAATATTTCCGAGCAGTGGCCCCGTTGGTGGTGAAGATGGCAGTTCCATTTCCATAGGGGTTATCATTTACGATCTTAATGGCTTCGTCCAAAGTGTCTGTCTCCAGAACCACAAGAACTGGGCCAAAAATCTCCTCCTTGTAACAGGTCATGTTCGGCTGCCGTGAGTGACACATCCAGAAAAGGAGTCAGTATTTTATGCCTGTTTGATTCTTTAGGACCCACTGTTTACATGGACAGCTTTCATGTTAGTAATCTCTTTTCACTTTAAACCACCTATTTTTTGAAGTGATATCTTGCTGTGCTCCACCTTCCAAGCTACCAATCATATAAATAACTTGAAATTCCAATTAAGTACAATTACACTCCTCTCTTTCAAGCACTTGTATTTGTAGGTCCGACCCATCACTAGCTTTCATACTTGTATAACCTATTTATACAATTATTATGTTACCGAAAACTTACATGAAAATTCATTTTTAATGAATCAAGTATATATTTAAAACACCACAGGGGAGTTTTTTCTGTTTAAAGAAACCCTGTGCTAAGTTTTCTGTAACATAAACAATCCATTCTCATTCACTCTTTTGCCTCCCACAAGTCTGTACGTTTAAATTTTGATATCAGGTCACATTAAACATTCTAAACATCCTTTACCACTGCAGACAGTGAGCTGTGTTTATTGCTTATAAGTGAATTTTTCCTCTATGGTTCTTTGGCAAGAGATTTCATAATTTCTATTACACTTATATTCAACTCAATTATTCAGGATTATAGTAGGATTAGTGAGGATACATATATTTCAAATAAAAGCCTCTGAACCTCAACCTCATCATTAATTTTAGCTGAGAGACTTGTAGAGTTTTGATAAATAAAAAAATTTGATAAATAAAAATTCTTTTTTCTTTTGTCATTTTCTGGTAAAGATGCAGCTAACTTTAGGGTGCAGAGTAAGCACTCAATAAATACGGGGTGGCTGATATGTTGATGGAGATTCTGCAATAGCTATAAGCTAGGAAGTAAGCAGAAATGGGAAGACAAAATTAACATAAAACAAGTAAGTAGCAAGTGTAATGCAAGATAGGGGTTGAAAAAACATGGCCATTGGGCCAAATGTGGCATGGTACCTGTTCCTGTAGCGCTAATGAGCTAAGAATAATTTCTAAGTTTTTTCAATGGCTTGAAAACAAATCAATCACAACATATAAAATTATTTGAAATTAAAATTTCATTGACCATAAATAAAGTTTTATTAGAACGCAGCTACACAATGTTAATGCTTGCTTTCACACTAAAATGTCAGGAGTTGAATGAATACTTGCAACAGACTATGTACCCCTGCAAAGCCAAAAATATTTACCATCTAGTCCATTATGGAAAGGTTGCTGACTGCTGATAGAGTGAAGAGAGATTAGGAGCGAGAAAGGCTTATTCAGAGTCTAGATAAAATAACTGAGTAATCCTGGCAAGACCTGAAGTCTCCAGTCACTAAATGTTCCTCATTTACAAATCGGAGGGATGAAATTCCGTTAGCTCCCATGTTTGGGAAATAAATAATCCAGAGTTGTTTACCTTGACATTTGAGATGATGGTTGGTCCAACAAAGTTGCCATTTTCATAGCCTTTGACTTTAATTTTTCGACCATCAAGAAGGATGGAGGCTCCCTCCTTTGTTCCACTATCAATCAGATTACAGACTCGCTCTTTGGCCTGGGGGGTGATCAGAGGGCCAAGATCAGCTCCAGGCTGGTCTCCTGTAAAACAACACGGAAGTGTCCGAGAGGTCTTCAACAACATAAATTATGACTGCCAACTAAAGATGAAACCAAACACCAAGTACAGTATAAAGAGAAGCAATGGTAAGAACTGACATGATCGTGCCCATTGGCAAAGGCCAAAGTTAAAACCAAGAGCTTAGTGCCACAGATGCAGTGTAGAGAGGCAGGCAGATACCTGATTACCTGCATTGACTCTCAGGTGTTTGGCACGCTCCACCAGCTCCGGCAGCCACTTCTTAGCTTCTCCCACAAGGATCGCTGTTGAAAGAGCCATGCAGCGCTGACCAGCAGCTCCAAAAGCTGCCCCGACCAGCTGGTTCAGGGTGTTTTCCTTATTGGCATCTGGCATGACTACCCCATGGTTCTTGGCTCCCTAGGAAATAGAAAAGCACATGAATTATTCCTTGGCAAAACACAATTAGGCTAAGAAATTTGGCAAAGAATCTGAGATTCTAAATAAAAATTTAAGGTAAGGAAAGGAGAATTTATCCTTTATTGCCTTTTTTTAAAAGCTTTTTTAAAAAAAGATTTAATTTATTTATCTTTAGAGGGGAAGGGAAGGAGAGAAATATCAGTGTATGGTTGCCTCTTGTGCATCCCCTGCTGGTAACTGGCCTGCAACCCAGGCATGTGCCCTGACTGGGAATTGAACTTCAATCTTTTGGTTCACAGGCTCGAGCTCAATCCACTGAGCTAAACCAGCCAGGGCCTTTATTGCTTTTTGAGGATAGTTTATTATTTTGATACTGCTTGAGTACTGGTAACATTGTACAAGCCTCCAGGTTAACTGATACGTGCTTATCTAGATCAATATAAACCAAAACACAAGAGCCCCAATCATCACATTAAGTCAAAATGATAGGCTAAACGTTGCACCCAGGAGCCAGTGGGGAATTCCTTCTCTTTCCTAAGTTAGATAGGAAAGAATCTGTTGTCTGCTGGGTTTCCAGTTATAAGAGTAGTGTAAACAAACAGCTGCCAGCAATAATGCCAGTAGCCAGCTGAAAAGCAAACTAGGAGGTAGACCTCTCCTGATAAACAGTTTCTGGAAAGAGGTTCCCCAGACTGCATACATCTGGTCATTTCCACACATTTTCAGATGCAACTACAATTGAGTGCATGGATAAACACCACATCAGCTCCTTAATTTTATCCAATTACACACAGTATACTGTTAGACACAGAAGTCGCTCAATAAATTAATAGTGAACTGGGAGGGACTTAAGTCAAAATGGCCAAAACACATTCAGTCATGAAAAGAAATAAGCAGGCATATCATGAAGCGCCCAAGCCTGTGCATAGGTGGCTATCCCTATGCAGCATTAGACAAAGGGTGAGAGAGTAGTAACTGGACTGTATATGGTATCAAAGGATTGTCAAGTATCTGACAAGAAGCTAGTAAAAGAACAGCAATACTATGCAACCAAGTAAACCACACATCTCATAGATGGATAGTGGGCTCCTTCCAGTGCTTCAAATAGTCTGACCTTTTAGGGAAGAAGGTATTTTGACATTACTAAGTCAGGATACACCTTAAAAGAAGAAAAGGTATAAAGGGCTAGAAGGAAGAAACAGGGCTAGAACTAGAATTCGGCTGTTACCACTAAAACCCAAAGAATTTGAATAACAGTCTCAGGGGAAAATGTGCCGTTTTGGCACCAAAATTTGTTGTATAAGATAAAAGGTAATTAATGTAACTTAGACTACAACTCATCACAAGGTTCATTTGTTAAAGGAAAGCTCTTCAGGATAAAAGTGGAATAAGGAAACACAGGCATTAGAATGGGATGAGTGGCCCCTTGGCTGAAGCAATTTTAATACATCTAACAGAGTTTGAGGGGAAAAAAGGAATAAGAAGTCACCATATTGGCTTGAACTCTCTTGCCATGTTTTGACCCTCTCTCGAAGATGTACTCTCCTGCCTGGTTGGATCCCACAAAGCTGATTGCTCTGATATCCGGATGATCACAAATAAAGTTTACAGCTTAAAGAAGAAAATAAATGATTACCATAGAGGAGCAAATGGCTATGTGTTTCTCGACATCACAAATTTCCCCTTTCCCCACTGCTATGAAGGAAAAGTTTTTCATACTTTTGTGTTTCTATATTGGATTCCCATTTTGAAGTTCTCTCTTTCTCTGTCCTTTTAATTCTTTAATGTACAAATTCTATTTAGCCTCTTCCCTTTATTTATCTCATTTGCTATTCCAGAACTTCCACAATCTAACTCTGAAGGATAAAATTCCTATTTTCCTATAAAATAACAGCCCTTCAGTACTTTTGTCCTTTAAGCATGTGATATTCACTCAACTGTCACTAGACACCAGAACTCTGAGATACTATGGCACCCTCACGAGAGACAACATAGCACAGACCAGTCGTGTGTGCTTAATGACGGGGCTACATTCCGAGAAATTCAACATTAAGTGATCTTGTTATTGTGTGAACATCATAGAGTGCACTTACACCAACCTAGGTGGTACAGCCTACTACACACCTAGACTACACGGTATAGCCTGTTGTCCATAGGCTACAGGCCAGTACAGTGTGCTTCTGGACAAAACAGTATGAGATTAAATTAAACACAAGAGAAAATGATACGATCAGGAGACACAGTAAACTTGAGTCTGCCGCCGGCATGACACACTATTTTATAGTAAACTTCTTTTCTAAGGAGAAAGTGCACACTCTAAAATACCAAGAAATGTAGCACAGTAAATACATAAACCAGTTATATAGTTATTTACTATCACTATCAGCACACGTACTGTACACAATTGTATACGCTGACTTTTCTACCAGTGGCAGTGCAGTAGGTTTGTTTACGGCAGCACCAACGCAAACGTGTGAGTGATGTATTGTGCTGTAATGTTACAACGGCTATAATGTCACAAGGCGACAGGAATTTTTCAACTCCATTATCGTCTTTGGGACCACTGTCATCTTTGCGGTCTGCTGTTGATCAAAATGTTATGCAGCATGTGACTATTTAAAAGTAAAAACCAGGAGCAGCCTTCCTGGGTATGTACCTCGCAGTTTCAATAGTTTCTAGCAGTGGCAAATTACTAAATTTCATTATGCCTCAACTTTCTTATCTGTAAAATGGAAAAATAATAGCACCTATCCCAAAGGGTTCTTATAAAGATTAAATTAGATAATACATGGAAGGTACTAAGAACAGTGCCTGAAACACAGACACAATTTTTATTTTTTAAAGATTTTAGTTATTTTGTTTTTAGAGAGAGGGGCAGGGAAGGAGAAAGAGAAGGCAAGAAACATCTACGTGTCATTGCCTCTTGCACGCCCCCTACTGGGGACTTGGCCTACAACCCAGGCATGTGCCCTGACTGGGAATTGAACCGGTGACCTTTTGCTTCATAGGCCCATGCTCAGTCCGACTGAGCTACACCACCAAGGGCAGAAGCACCTTTTAATAGTAGCTATTACATGAATTAGAAGGCCTTCAGTATCTCTGAGGTCCACAGATTCTGAGTTAAATACCCTCACAAATTCTCTTAATATTGAAGTGAAAACTTTCTCTTTAATCTTATCCATGCCTTGCCCTAATCCATATTTCTTTGTTCCAGTATATTTTTTAGGACAAGAAACACTACTACTCACCAGTTAGTTACCTTAGCACGCAGATGGCAAAACAGCCAACAAACACTACCTTCAAACATGGAGGTTACTACTAGTAAACCCCTTCCTCCCTAGCTTCCTCATTCTAGAACACCCCATTACCACTCAACACTGTGATTTTTTTGGTAGTCAGACCAAGTGCCACGTTCTGAAGGGCAGTTACCTTCATGTTGTCCGTGGATGATGTTCAGTGTTCCATCGGGGGCGCCGGAGTCCTGGAGCAGCTTAGCAAGCAGCATAGCTGCTCCAGGCACTCGCTCTGACGGTTTCATGAGGAAGGTATTGCCACATACCATGGCCATGGGAAACATCCAAAGGGGGATCATGGCCGGAAAATTGAACGGAGCAATGCCTGCACACACGCCCAGAGGCAGACGGTAGGAATAAAGGTCCATGTCTTTGGTGATGGATGGCATGGTCTCTCCCAGCAAGAGGGATGTCACGCTACAGGCGTGCTCAACCACCTCTGCAACAGAGGAGAAGCAGTCAGGCCGCCAGCTGCCCAAACTGTGCACTACTTAGCTTTAGCACGCTCCAGTAAGTCCCGAGGCCAGGGCGTGGCTCAGGCCCGTGACAGAAGGAAGAAATACTAACTTGACCTTCCATGTAAAGAGATAGTTCAAAATAAGACTCTGTAAATGGGAAAAAGACAGTGAAATGTACATACTTACTGGAAGATCAGTTAACTAAAACAAAGAATGAAGTACACCTGTTTCATAGATCCCTGAGAAGTATTGCAATTTTCCATAAGTATTAAAAAAGATATCAAAGGATAACAAAATCTACATAAAGGATAAAAGCAATCCCTCATTATGGGATCTTTCCCTCCCAGTTTCCTTTGCCTCTTTCCCAAAGGTCCCCGAAACTCCTCATGAGAGACTCCCAACTTACGAAGGCCTCGAAATACATCTCCTTCAGCATCTGCTAGGGTCTTCCCTTGTTCCAGTGTGATTAACCTGGCAATTTCTTTCTAGAGAGCAAACATACAGATAGAAAATACACAGATAGAAACCAATGCAAGGATGTGCCTCCTTTCAGTTCTCAGGCAGCCGGGGAAGGACAAAACTGGGCAAGAGGTCGTGTGAGGAAGAGAAACGGCCAGGACCTGTCTCTGGATGCTGCAGAGAGAGTAGGCGGTTAAAAGGGCCCCTGTGGCATGACAAGTCTCCTCTAGATAAGTTCGGAAAATGGTATCATTCAGATTTCTTACCAAATTTTCTTTAATAAGTTGTTGATAGCGAAGCAGGACCTGCTGACGGCTTAATACTGAAGTGTCTGCCCAAGTGGGAAAAGCACGTTTGCAGGAAGCAACAGCTGCATCCATTTCAGCCTTGGTGGCCTGAGGGACCCGACCAATGACCTCATTGGTGGCCTGATGGGAAAAAGCAGTACATCATGCTTTGCTGCTGCCCCACCTTCTCCATTTTTCTTCTAGACACAAAGGCAACACTACATGCTTCGCAAGAGACACCCAGGTGTCCACTTTCCGGCTGTGTTCCCAGAATTCTAGGCTAGTCAGTTTGGGCAGCTTTGCTTACTGGGTTGTGGATGTCAATCCATTTGTCACTTTTGGATTCCACAAATTTCCCATCAATGAAGAGCTTTACAGTTGGCTGGGGGGAAAAACACACACAGACAAAACATTGTATTAGTTAACTGCTTTACTTCTGTCTCTTACTTTCACAAAGAGGAAGGAATTCGGGTCGGTAATGAACGTACAGCTCTCTACAGATGTTACCACTTGGAAAGTGATACACAATGTACTTGCTTACAGTGTTTGTTAAGATGGGGCAGAGCCTCTCAATACTGTGATGTCTCTGAAAATGGGACATTCTCAGCTAGTCACACATGGAACTTCATGAGTAAACACATGTCACTGTAAAGCTGAAACTGAAAAAGCAGCAGACTCAGTGTTAACAGAGAGGGGCTATTATGACTTCTTGGCCCAGATGATTTTCTGTCACATTATCATGATAATGTCTTACTTTTATGATCAAAATGTTTAAAAAATGTTTTAATCTGTGACTTTTTTTCTGAGAAGAAGTGTACTTTCACTACATTTCCACCAAAAAGGTAAAGGACTAAGGAGGGGGACCTCCCCTAAAAAGGAGCAATCATCTTCTGGAGGGCAGACTTCCCCACAGGCTTCCCCCTCCAGGTGTGTGTTCTAGGAACCCGGCTGTATCAGTGCACGAGCTGGCGTCGTTGCGAAGGTGTTGGGCTCCAGGGAATTTTTTTGAAGACTCTTTCAACACCTTTGCCCATTTCATGATGGGTGATTTACAAGTGTATCTGCCCACACACTCTGTTCACCTGGTATCACCCCCAGTGACTTTTTTTGTTTCCCCAGATGAAAAAACTCCTCCAAGGGAAACGTTTTGCAGATGTGGAGGAGGTGAAACAAAAAATGGCAGCAGTAAAAGGCATCAAAATCAACAAGTTCAAAAACTGTTTTGAGCAGTGAAAAAAAGTCTCGATAGGTATATTACATCAAATGGAGAGTACTTTGAAGGTGACTGAAGTTTAAACATGTAAGAATAAATATACAATTTTCAAAAATAAATCCAGTTTTCTGGGGAATACCCCCTTGTACTGTGTTACAGCGTGTGCCTGCTTCTCCACAGAAAGGACTTATTTATTAGATCTTAGACGCTGCACATGGCTGACAGATAAGGTCCATAAAAACAACTCTAAAGGCTGCCAAGAAGCACAAATCTTCTGGCAGGGTCAACTAAACTTCTAGAAGCTATGAAAATGTTTGTATCTTAGTAATCCTATTCCAGGAGAGAAGTAATCTAAAAGAAGGAGGAAAAACTATAAATAATTGCTTGTAAAACAATATGGAAAAACTGAGGCAAATCTCAATGTTATATGGAAAAAATGAGTTAAATCGGGTTTTATATATATATACACACACACACACACACACACACACACACACACATACTTAATGGAATATAATGTAGCCATTAAAATCATAACCACATATAAAGACCATCTTATTATACTGAAAATGCTTACAACATATTATACATAATATTAAATATGAAAACCAAGATAGAAAGGAAGTTTCCAACACACGCCGCTCACAATTCCATAGCGAAGGTAAAGGGGATGCCCACAAATTACACTGGATTCCTTCTCAGAAGTCTGCTTTTCACACCAAATAAACTCACCACTGAAGATGAGAAGCAGGCTGCTGGATACCAAGCGGAGTTCACCTTGGAAGAAACCTGTGAAGTAACAGAATGACTATTTTCATAACTGAGAGCAGAAAATTGTTAAAAACCCAGTAAATGGCTACTGTATGCTTAATATTATAGTCATTATTGTGGATATGTGAATAAAGAGTTGATGTTTGCTCTCAAGGGTCATATAATCTTTTTTTTAAAGATCCTCACCCAAGGATATGTTTATTCATTTGAGAGAGAGACATTGACGTGAGAGAGAAACACTGATTGTTTGCCTCCCGAATGTGCCCCAACTGGGGATGGAACCCCCAACCTAGGCACGTGCCCTGACTGGGAATCGAACCCACAACGTGCTGGTGTATGGGATGATGCTCCACCCAACTGAGCAACCCAGCCAGGGCAAGGAGCATATAATCTTTAAAGAGGAAAGACAGGAGACTGAGATACAGCAAACTGAGGAAAAAATAAACCATAATGACTGTGTCCTCAATTTCCAAACAGCTCTGATTTAAAACATTTTTTTTTCATTAACCCCTATTTTCCTCATTTTTGGCCTATACATCTAACAATATAAAAGCACTTAGCTTTTATAAATGTAGTACTATAAATCTAACAATATAAAAGCACTTAGCATGGTGTCTAACAAAATAGGGGTTGAATATAAGACAGTATGCAACCAAGTATCAAATATAACGTGCCCACATAAATATGTGAACACAAATGTTCACAGCAGCTTTTTTTATAACAGCCCAAAACTCAGAAACAACCCATGTGCCCACCACGGGATGAGTCCATGGGAAACTAATGTGGTTTTACCCACACACTGGACTTCTACTCAGCAATGTAAAATGAGCTATTTATAAATGCAGCGTGAATAATTATAGTAATTTGCATAAAAAAGTCAGACATAAAGAGTACATACTGTATAATTTATTTATATAAAACAAGAAAGTGCGAACTGGCCTGTAGTGCCAGAAAGCGTATCAGTGGATGCCTAAAGATGATGAGGGAGGTGAAGAGGAGAAGGTAAAAGAAAAACTTTTGGGGGTGTGGATGTATTCATTATTCTGATTATGATGATGTTTTCACAGGTATACAAATATTAATACATCAAATGGTATACTTTTCATATATATAGTTTATGCCAATTTTATTTCAATACAGCTAATTTTTTAATGCCACACACACTGATATGGTATAATCAGAATACTGGGAGGATCAGTTACAATAATTTTCTAAATAAATAGTTTGTATATATGTTATGAAAGTTGATTTAAGGAATATTAAAGTCTAACCAAAGTGAGCAATCTGAAACACCTGGGACTATAAAAGGAGTATAAAAGAAACCCGTGATCAAACAATCTGTGGTCTGGTCTGAAGAGAGACCATGCTCACCCCAGGGTTAGAGCCTCGTGGAGTGTAAGAACTCATGCACCTGCAGCGCTGTCCGGGGAGGGTGCTGGTCCTACGTAGGTCAGCAGAAAGACCTTCCAAATGCCCAGTCTGCTTTCTCCTCCACGCCTCACAAAAGCTGTTTTAAACCACCAGCACTCTCGTGGAGTCAACCGTATCTTATTTATAGCCATGTTCCCAATACCAACCTTGTACATAGTAGGTGTTCAACAAATATCTACTATACAAAAAAGAAAGGTCCCCTGGGCCTGACTGCCCCCCGCCCCAGACTAGGTTAGGTGTCCCATAGCAGCCAATATTTCCCCTATCAGGTTCATTTGTCTCTGTTGTAACTGCCTGGGCACTTGTCTGTAAGTTCCGTTAGAATAGGCACTGTATCTGTCTTGTTCACCAACTTCACAGAGTTATTGTGACCAAGACTGCACAGATATAAAAACAGTTGCTGTTCCTTAAATGTCATTATTATCCCATTATTACGAATAACTTATTTGTTCTCCTTGCTATTTCAAAACTTATCAATTATCTTAAAACTTCCAACTCTGCTACTCTCCCTCTTCTTCTCAAGAGCTGACCTTATTTTCCTATTGCAGAGGAAACAGAAACCGTCAGATGAGAACTTCAACTTCTACGGGCAAATCTACAACACTGACCTGCAACTGCACTCATCCTTTCCTTCTTCCCTTTTCTAATGGAGAAGGTAGCAAGCGAGCTGTAAGAGGACACAGGGACGGGGAGACAGAAGTACACAGTCAGTTCTGTGGGCGACTGAAGTGGTGTCTGTCCTCTGATCTAAGGCTAATTTCTGCACCTATGTTCTGAAGCCAACCTCTCCTGCCTCTTGCACTTCCATCAAATACCCTTTCTCTCCTGTACCTTAAACCTCCCTCTATCTAATAGCAAAGGTTGTCTATACGACTTAACATTTATTTCCTCATCTCCCACTAACTTCAATATGTTCCAACCTTCATGCTTAAAATAAACACCAGTGACTTCCTGCATCTCACAGACTCTGTAGTAATTGACCTCTCAGCAGAGGTGACCAGGTAAGGTTGAGAGGCTATCCCACGGTGTGACTGTTGTGGGACCCTGGTAGCTAGATGGCTGAATGGATCCTGGCCAAAACAGACATTGCTTCCCCATAATCCCCTCAGGGACTATCTGACTGACCTCTCCCCTACGTTCCAGGCATGCCAGCTGCCGAAAGAGGCCAGGATCTACACCCCAAGCAAACCTGCAAAGCATTTTCCCCTTATCTGGGGGAGTTCATGCGCCTGTTCCCCATACCCAGCCCTGCCCTCTAGAACCCCTCTGTGCCTGCTACACAGCACAAAGGGTACCCATACCATCTTCCCGTCACTCACGATGAGCCTCATAAATACAGGGGCTGGCACAAATAATGCCCCTGTTTCATTACAAAATCATAAGCATGTAATTCTGTAACATAAAATCACACTCAAGCACACCATGACATTTTAGGTGAAATTTTCAAATTAAAACTAGAAATTATTACACCCGTATTATTACCCTACCAACCACCCTCAAGCAGGTGTTACTTCTGTCAGACCCTGTACACAAGTTCCCTTAATAAACTTTGTGTAATGAAGGAATTGTCAGCCTCTTCTCTGGTCTCTCATCCCTAGGAAATTCTACATAACAGAGTGAACCCGGGGGTTCACTCTACTTCCTGAACCCCCTTTTCACTTGTCTTCTGTGATACCCTTGTATCTCTTCCATCTCTTAGACTACTTTTCTGCCTTCTTTGCTAGTTCATTCTTCTTTACCTGCACACTTTGGGTTAGAAAAAAAAGGTCCTGAGGACTTCCGCCAAGATGAAGGCATAGGTGGATGTACCGTGCTTTCTCACACAACCAAGTTTATAGACAACTAAATATTAGCAACAGAAAACACAGCCAGAACACGGAAAATTGAACTTTTTGGAAGTCCGTTAACAACAAATTCTTCAGCCTGACCGGTAAGGGGCGAAACCAGCGGCTGGTGAGGGGTTGCACAGGAAAACTCGGTCAGACGGACTCAGGCGCAGAATACAGACGCGTGGAATCCAGGCGCAGGGTTGGACCTAGTGAGCGACGAAGCGAGCCACCAGGCGAGCGACCTCGGAGGAGACAGCGGGGAAGCGGTGCTGCATGTTGACTGTGGTCGCCCATTTGTGCGCGAGCGGACAGCCGAGGGAGTGGGCGGTTGGACCAGGGCCAGCGGCAAGCGGCAGTAGAGGGCGCCGCCATTTCCCGGCTCTGACCACGCCCCCACATACAGAGTCACAACCCAGCGACCTGGGAGTCCAAGGCACGGCTTGTCACACTTAAAGGGCCAGAACAGACCAAAAATGTCGCAAGATCTCAAAGCCCCACAGCCCATAGATCTAAGCGATGAAGAAATAGCAAAACTCTCAGATGCACAGTTTAAAACACTGGTCATCAGGATCCTCACAGAACTGGTTGATTATAGCCACAAATTAGACAAATATATGAAGGCGAAACTAACTGAAATGAATGGAAATGCACAGGACACCAATAGCAATGAAAAGGAAACTGGGACTCAAATCAATGGAGTGGACCAGAAGAAAGCAAATAATGGCCAAACAGAAAAGAGTCAGGAAGCAAGAATTCAAAGAAATGAGGAGAGTCTTAGGAACCTCCAGGACATCTTTAAACGCTCCAACATCCGAATTATAGGGGTACCAGAAGGGGGAAAGGCACAGCCACCAGTGGAAAACTTATTTGAACAAATAATAAAGGAGAATTTCCCCAATCTGGCAAAGGAAATACACTTCCAGGAAATCCAGGAAGCTCAGAGAATCCCAAAGAAGTTGGACCCAAGAAGGAACACACCAAGGCACATCATCATTACATTAGCCAAAATTAAAATGAAGGAGAGAATCCTAGAAGCAGCAAGAGCTAAGGGACAGTCACCTACAAAGGAGTCCCCATCAGACTGTCAGCAGATTTCTCAAAAGAGACCTTACAGGCAAGAAGGGGCTGGAAAGAGGTATTCCAAGTCATGAAAACCAAAGACCTACAACCAAGATTGCTCTATCCAGCAAAACTTTCATTTAGAAGGGAAGGACAGATAAGGTGCTTCTCAGATAAGATCAAATTCAAGGAGTTCATCATCACCAAGCCCTTATTATACGAAATGTTAAAGGGACTTATCTAAGAAAAAGAAGTTAAAGAAACATGAACAGTGAAAGGACAGCAAACTCACAGTTATTAACAACCACACCTAAAACGAAAGCAAACTAAAAGGACAGCTAGATCAGGAGTGGAAACATAGAAATGAAGATCTCAAGGTGGGTTAGCAACAGGGGAGTGGGAGGAGGAGATGGGGGGAGAAGGTACAGAAAATAAGTAGCATAGACGGTAGATAGAAAATAGATGGGGGGCAAGAATAGCATGGGAAATATAGAATCTAAAGGACTTGAGACACATGGTCATAAACTAAAGGGAGGGTAATGGTGGGGATGGGGGGGTAGGGTGGAGGGGAATGAAGGGGGGGAATAGAACAACTGTAACAGCATAATCAATAAAAAAATTTTAAAAAAAAAAGAAAAAGAAAAAAGAGGTCCTAGGACTTCTTTTCTTCTCATTCTGCATACTATACTCTCCTAGAGT